CAAATGCATGTCTGCATATCAATCCCATACCATCAACTAGTAAAGAAAATATCATAAAAGAACATCCATCACATCGTGTACAAGTCTACTGTCACCTATTGTGACCGTGACAACTGAATGTGAAGTCCTTCAAGAATCATTTCAAAAGAGAAGATGAAGTTTCTCAAGGATCAACCTCACAAATCCTACACTTCTAAAATAAAATGTATAGAGTTTACAAGTTAACAGCAAATAACCAATCCCATTTCTTCTAACTTATTTGCTCAAGGTGTCACAGGAATCCTCTTTCTTGACATTCCATCGTCCACTTTGTTCCCCAACAAATGGAACAATTGATTATCATCTCCTCAAAGAAAACAAGGATAATGGCAAGAAGGAAAAAACCACACACACAGAACAAAACAAAAAACCAAAAACGATATATTGGAAAACTGTTTTTTAACCATGCGAAAAAAACACACTATGTGACACCCAAAGTTTACCTTTTTTCCCAGCATCCATGGATTTCTGAATGGCATCTCCTCCAGACTTAGAGATCATCACCACAGGAAATTTTATGTGTACATCCTCATTTCCAGGACAACCCATCTCAGTAAGAGCTGTATAAAAGAAATGGAGATAGATTTATTCCCAAATAGACTTCACAAGGCCTCCAACAATAGTATCATGAGAGAATGAGCAAGAGTATAGATATAGCAAAGTCAACATTCTAAGTGAATCAAGGAAAAGAAAACCTTCATCGTCATTTATTATCACAAGGCCTCCAGCACCTCCTGTTTGCGCAAATTTAGCCTTGGTTACAAAATCACATTCACCACGTATAGCTAATGCCATAGCGCCTGATAACTACAAGAAAACAAAACTTTAAAGCTAATCGTGAAACTTCTATTTTACAAGGTATGTAAATTTAGTTTCTACTTTCTAGTTTCTGTATTCTAGAGACAAGAATGAAGGATAATGCTCATTGTTTGAAAAATTATTCAAACACGTAGAATTGGTTTCTTTAGAGGGCTCCAGAGCACCTTTTTATAGTCACTAGAAGAACCCTGTGGGATGCACAGGAATATGATGTAGATGACAAAAAAGTACAAAATTTTCAATGAGTTGATGTCATGATAGAATGGTCAGATATGTTGACCACCAACCTGATAAGCAAGATTTAAAAAAAAAAAAAAAAAAAAATAACTAACATTATATTTTTGTGGAAAATAGGAACAAAACTACTTTTAGTACTTTATAAATACAATTGATACTATATATCCTCACTTTTTGCATACTTGCTAATTTTAATACAATGAACTATTTTTTATAATTCCATCAATGTATGTTTCCAACATAGTATATACACATTTAAGAAATGATTATGTTTTTGTTGAACATTTAAATTAGAATTAATAATAATTTAGATATTTGAATTTCAATTGTAATGGCATATTCTTTTTTTTTTTTTTTCAAAAGCATATAAAAATAGTGTCTTACTTTTTAAAACTAAGTAGTAGTAGTAGTAGTAGTAGTAATAATAATAATAATAATAATAATAATAATAATAATAATTAAATATATGAAATTCAATTATCCATTTCATTTGAGGAAAAAATAATGAATTCATTGTTTTAAAAAAATCATATCAATTTGTTTGAAAATATAATACTAACAAATTATGATAAGGAATTCAAAGAAGTTCAAGCACCTTTCATATTTATTTGTATTAGTAATACTTGTACAAGTAATCTATGTGGGACACAAGAAGACACATAATTAATGTATGAAAATAAATTTAAAATAAAGATGCCAAATCAAAGGCTAGTATTACGAATATAGTTTTTATCTCATAAATAATATGAGGGACTTTGGAATATCTCTAATTAGGTGCTAAAGTACCTTAAGAGGTCGTTTGGTGCTTTCCTATCAATTAAATTCAAAAATGTTTGCCAGGAACTAATTTGCTGGAAAATTAATAAACATGTTTGGCATTACCTTGGAAATAGAACAATTAAATCCCTTGAACAGTTATTGAAGCATTTGGTTCGTTTAAACTTTCCAGTTTCCAATATTTTCTTTAATTTCCAATATACCCTTGACATATGCAAACAAACAATTAGCTATGATTTTCAGAAAATAGGCTTAAACAGATTAACAGACAGTGGCAGATGGAGGAACATAGAGAAGAACACAGAAGGTGACTCCATAAAATAGGCTTAAACAAAAGGCAGCAAATAGAGTAATAAATGGCAGGAGGAGAGGAGTTGTATTTATATGATAGTTTTTTTGGCAAGTAATTAGGTAAATAGGTAATAAACAATTGATAGCAATTAGTTGTACATAACAACAATAAAGTGACAATACCAAACCCCAAAGAATTTAGATGAATGCAGTGGCATTTCTAGAATGGGGTAAGCATACCTTTCGAGAGATATTGGAACAGCAATTCAAGGGGTTTGTGTAAGTAGCAGGTAATTTGACGCCATCTTTTTCCTTAGTAGGCAAAAGAGTACCAAATGCTGCACTTATTCCTCCTATTTCCTCCCCTTCAGTGCCATCCAACCATGTCTTGACCTTGACCTGCAGGAAAAATGGGGAAAGAAGAAAAAAAAAAACAAAGATGTGCTCAGTTAAACTATAGCACTGAAAACTTCTTTACTTCCTCAGTCCATTAGCCCCTTCCTCCACCCAATGGCATTCCCAAGGGAAAAAAAATTTGAATGCACACGCAATAAAAAGAGAGAAACACAATTTTTTTTCAGAGCAACTTTAAATTCCTTGACCTCAAAATTTTCTTAAGCATTGCTAGTACTCCAAATTCTATATTATATAGCCCATAATATTTCTGCCATAAATGGATTATTATTTGAAAAATCAATTTGTGTAGCTATCTTTCACTCTTGCAATGATCAACTAAACTTTGAAAACCTGTGCTTCAGCTTCTTCATATGAGGTTATATGATTCTTAACATGGTTTATTAAACCAAACTCAGACTAGCTATTCAAATCACATAAACTCTACACATTAAACACATGACAAGCCCTTTCTCTGGGAGAGAATCCGCCACTAAATTATTAAACATTTAAACATAGTGCTGCATCATCCCCACATTTCACTACTCATCCTGCATTATATCATTCAATAGTAATCTCTCAAGTAACTCCGTATACTCGAGGAAGAAAGAAATCATAGTAATAAATAATAGAAATAATTCCTGTAAAGTAATAATTAAATTCCCATCAAGTTTTAAAAATTAAATAGCAGCCACCGGTAAATGAATTATAGCTTTTTCATAAATTAGTAAATTACCACCAAAATCAACATCTTTCTCCAAACACAACAACCTCTCTGTCAATCTACCTAAGTATCAACCTACATACACGCCAGAAGTGCCGACACGCAACGGCATACAAAGCAGAAAAATGAAATTATAAGGCGGTGGAAACTCAATAGGAGGAAAATGAAGTACCAATTTGTAAGGATTGTTGCAGGAGGCAGACACGTTGGGGGAGGCGCGTGTAACATCGTCGTTTGCGGCGGCTGCCAATGACGATATAGAGAGGAAAGCGACAAAGAATCCTAAACCGATAAAGCGCAGAGAAACATCCATTGCTCCAGATCGATCGATCTCCTCTCCTTTGTTATTTTCTTCCCTTTGGCCTTCTCTTCTGATGCGAGCTCCCTCTACCTGTGCATCTACATTGAACGTGCAACGTTTCTTTTAAGAAAATTAATAAGTTAATACGAAGTGCAAAAGTCTAAGCACGTCGATGAGGAGGGTCATTCTGTAAATTCATTGCTGAACCAACTAACCCCAGGCCCAGCTGGTTAGTTGAACAACAATTATGCCATGAAGCGGGATCCACCTTATAAGGTGAATTTGTGTCCAAAATACACAATTTATATATTGAATGTTCACAATTTACATAAAGGGAAAATGACACTTTTTTCCCCTATGTTATATGCTTATAGCACTTTTTCCCCTGAGTTATTCATGCATCCACATTTGCCCCCTCAATTATTATAAAAGTGGCGGATTTTCCCCCTGATAATATTAAATAGACATTTTTACCCTTAAATACATATTTTATTTATTTCTCTTGTTCAACAAATTATTGTTTATACGTAGGGATGGCCACGGTTCGGTTCGAACTGAACCGAACACTATAGCAATCAAATAAAAAAAAATTCGGTTATGATTCATAACATAACTCAATATTTTGGTTTCCGTTTATTAAAATTGTGAAGTGGAAAAAAATAGATTCTGAACCGTGAACCAGAGGTTCAAATCGGAACAACTACTAGCAATAGCTTAAAATTAGAATTATAATATTTGCAAATAGTGTATGTCTTTTTCGCATTTATATTGACTCTCACATATAAGTATATATAATCGCGATTTGGTTTTTATTTTGAATCGTTGTTTCACAATTTCGGATCCAATTTAAACTGTTGGTTCAAACATTATTTTAAAATTTTATTTTTCTATTTTTAAAGTATTCTAAATTCAACAATTAATGTATTTTATTTTTTCAAATTGTGGTTATAATTTGTTGGAGAAGTAAAATAAAGGAAATATTTATTTTAAGGGTAAATATGTCCATTTAATATATCAGGGGGAAAAATTGCCACTTAAATAATATAGGGGAAAAAAGTGCTATAAGTATATAACACAGGGGGAAAAAGTGCCATTTTCCCTTACATAAATGTTCAATATATAAACTTTTGAATCCAAATCCACCTTGCAAAATGGACCTGGATCACCAGAATAATTTGCCGTTAGCCAAACTATTATATATCTCATAAGTTTCAACTAAAATTTGCTTTAAATACAGATTTTGTCATGAATATTGGAGGCTTAAATTGGACTCTTTATACACATAAATTTATAGTTTGGTGTTGAGTTTTCGAAATTAGATTGACTCAATTTACATCAAGAGTATATTACAAAACTATTTCAATAAGAGAATATAAGCATAACACTATAACACTACTCAATTTATAAAGATTATGCATGGAATAAAAAAAAACAACAGAGCATAGAGCATGTATTTCTTTTTTACTAATGTATGAGTTTGGTAAACATACATTCTCAAACTGAATACAGGACAACCAAAATGAAATAAGAGAGAAAAAAAAAATCCTAAATCCATTCTTTTCATTTAGAACTTCTTTAATTCCACTTGAGTTCTGAACTATGAAAGCATATCCTCTACACCTTCAATCCCTCCATTCACTCCACTGCAGCTGATAACATGAGAAATGTCAGCTTAACTACTTTGCCAAAGCCACTGAATGAGATGACAGTAAGTCTCCCACTGGAGTAATAGAATTGAGACACTAATAGATGGGTTAGTCCCTTAAATGTCCCAGGTTCAATAGATAACGACTATTCTGCAGAATACTGGTTCTTTATCCAACATAATATGAAGTGTACCTAGCAGGCATACTAGTGGCGCTTCCTACCACCACCCTTTTTCTTGCCCTTATTCTTTTTGCCGGTATTTTTCTTCCCCCCTTTGTTGTGCGGAGCAAACTTTTTCTCATCAGGGACAGTTGATGTAGAGGGTTTTAATAGATGTTTCACATCAAGCACACCCTTCCGGAAGTGACCTACACTTGATTTCAGTACCCTATCCTCAGGGTTGCGCCTTTGAGCAACTCTTCTAGAGCTAGAGCCATGATTTACCCCGAATCGCCTTAGTATTAAACTCTGTACACACAAATAGTTAGCACCACAGGCTTTAGAAACTTGAACTGAAGCAAAGCAACCAAAACAAGAATAAATAGAAAACAGAAGGAAAAAAAAAAAAAAAAAAAGGGGGGGGGGGGGGGAGGGGGCTAGGAACAAGTAACCAACCTCTTCTAACTCTTTTTGCTCCCTCTCTTTCTGTTTCTTCATCATCACTCGAGCCACACTGAGTGGTAGTCTCTGCTTCTTTGGCGGCTGCATCAACCCAACACAACAAATGAATACCAAAATGAAAAGAAACATTTGCTTTTACACCAAACACCAATGCTCAAGAAAAAAGGGACCACCTTTCCCCCAAGAGAAACCACTTTTTTGTTTTCCAAGTCCTTCCTCTCCTTCCAAGTCATATGTGCGGACCCTGAAATAATTAAATTTAGCAATTAGAACGTGTATGAAGGCTATTTACAATTTACAGGGAGTAACAGGAAAGCAAATATCCTAAAATCATATTCATGGAGATTAGGTCATGAAGGCAAAAAAAGTGCTTAAATCATATATAATCCAATATTTCAGAGTCTTTACAGGGAAAAGCTGATATATCTTCCCTCTCCATAGATGAAAAGATAAGCCAGAAGGACATTATCAACAATACAACATGCAAATCATTTGCTGCAGTGCTCTATCTTTACCTAAATCTATTAGTGCCACCCATACTTGTTGCTCCATTCAAATTCACAAAACTCAAATCCAACAACCTCACTATCTCCCCATTAGCAGGGGAAGACTTATATACCTTAAAAATTATATACTAGATGTATTAAATTGCCTCAATGCCAAAAACAGATTATTATTATTATTATTATTATTATTATTATTATTATTATTATTATTATTATTATTATTATTATTACGAAAATAGAAAAATAAAAAGATGAGAAGATGTTCAGAGTCAGAGACAATTAAAATATGAAAACTAAGTAATTCTCAAGAAGAAAAGCATAGATCATAAAGATTCAAAGTATGAAAGAGAAAATAAAACAGACTATAAGTAGCATGCTTGATACAATGTTCAAAAACAAAATATTAAAAACACATATAATGCAAAAAAAAAAAAAAAAAAAAAAAAAAGAATCATAGGAATTTACCTAAGAATTCAACATCTTTCAAGATAGACTTGAAGTTCAGCTTTTGATCTTCATCCTTTGAATTCATACTGGAATGCTCAACTTTCTTTCTCTGCTGCTTCATCTTTTTGGGCGTTGAATAGATGCCAATATAGAAGATACTACGGTCGACTACTGCATAAATGCAGCAAATCAAGAAGATTATCGGTGTTACTAGTTTCAACGGCGGAATTGAAAGAACAATAACATTAATGTTAGTGAGCTAAGGGGTTTCGTTTTGGATGCCCGATGAAAAGAACACAGGCTGCGAAACTTTACATATAAAATTTTGAATCTCAAAAAACAAACAAACGAGAAAAGTAAGAACTAAAGGATGAGAAGTGAAGAATAGTACATACCTGTCGTGGCGGCGTGTTCGGGAGAGGGGTGTAGGGGATGTTAGAGGTGGAAGAGGAGTGGATGCCGGAGGGAGCAGCGCTTCTGCTAGGGTTTGTGAAAAAAAATAAAAAAAAAATCAAATCAAATTACGATTACTACTACTTATTACTCCGTACATGTTACATGATGATTTAAAAAGTAAAAACATATGATATATATATATTTTTTCTTTAAATAGCCAGAAAATTTTATTATCACTATACGTCTATACTAAAATGTTTATTAATTTTTATACAATAATAATTTATAAATCATACAGAATATATTTCATTTTGGGAGTATATTACTAATATACAAATTTGTTTTTATAACCAAAAAAAAAAAAAAAAACTCCCTCAAGTCCCTTCAATTTTTTTTTTTTGTTTGCAAGTAAAAAATTTAAAAAACATTTATTGTCAAAATAGATTTTTTTTTTTTTTTGACTCAATGAACATTTTTTTTTTGTTGACTTCATTTCCGTTGATAGTCAAACACACAAATTTTAAAAATAATTTTTAAAAGTTATAGAGATGTCATCATATCAAAATAATACATATTATGGGTACACATGTCATTTAATTTGTTAATTTATTAACCGTAATGTTTCAAATTTAACCCTATGTAAGGATAAGACTTTCTTGATTTGAACGGGTTAATTATAAACTTTCTTGATTTAAACTAGTTAGTTATAGAGAATCCATGTTAGTTCTCTTTAATGAGTGTAAACTTTTATATAAATCAAAGGTTGCTACTAAATTCGATATCATCTTTCATTTGTTTTACAATTACAATTGAACATCCGGAATGTTAATTGGTGTGAACAAATCTATGAACATAGTATAATTAAAGGTGTCAAAGTAGGCTGAAATCAGCGAGCTAACCCGCACCCACCCTACGATGGGGTAGGTTAAGACCATAGGAAAGATGGCCCGCGAAAATGCCGTATAATTATATCAAACTTCAGTTGATATGAATCTGGTGAAGTATCAAAACCATTTCAATCCATAAAATATACTCTGGATTAAATTAAACAAAAGAGGAATGGAGAAAATTTCCAAAAGGTTACAATTTTACAATGTGAGTTCTTGATGTAAAGAGCCTATAGTTAGTCATCAAAAACTTTTCTGGCATCAGATATCTGTGGTAATTGCCCATGGAGGCATATTCGCATTGCACCCTCCAGTACTCGCTGATGAAAATAGCTCTTGTACAAATCCCAGAACTCATCTCTGTCAAATAATATAGATGCCAATTATTAACCATATATCATTTCCACAATACACATGAAGATGAATTAAAAAAATAAAAAATGCAGAGGATATACATAACATCCCCCGAGGCCCCATCCACCACCCAAATCCCAGAACTCATCTCTGTCAAATAAATGAATAATATGGATGCTAGTTGTTAACCATATATCATTTCCACAATACACAAGAAGAGAAAAATGGCAGAGGATATACATAGCATTCCCCCACCCCCACCCAACTCTCTCTTCTCTTTCTTGGTTGGTCCATTGTCTCTGCCCTCTACTTGTGCACACTTTTTATGCCATCCTCACACAGTGCCTCATGAAAACTACTTATTGCTTAAACCTTCTGCAATTGAGCCACTAAAACCTAAAAGGGATTGATAAAAGTTATATGAACAGTGAACTTAGTCGAACCTGACTTGAGGAAGTGTTAACAGCGAATAGCCCTTGACATCTGTTTGCATATCAAGCACAAGGACAGATAGTCGAGACAGGCCCAATGCCTCCACATCAATCAATTTCTTAATCCTGTAAGTAGTTGAGAAGGATCAGAAATGAAGCAATAAAGGACACAGAGATAGGAAGATAATAGTTTTTGTGGAAAATTTGTTTCCTCTCACGGATCCAACAAGTTCTAAATTGATAAGTCCAATGCTCGGGCATAAAGTTGGTATGAAGTGTTGTCATTCAGATTTAAAACTATTACTCCATAATCCATATTCAGATTTCCCTTGGTAACAGACAAATTTTTTATGCATTTTTTCCCAAAGGGTCCAAGTTAGGCAATATATAGCACCGCATACCTGCTTGGGGTACCACTAGCAATATTAACTCGATTCTTTAGAAAGGACACCTGCCAATGTACATTAATAGAGAGTGAAGAATTTAATGTGAAACTTTGTAAGGTGGTAAAGTAGAAGAATGTATAATCATATAGCAATAATAAATGTCAAGATTCAAGAATTAAGATAATGAATCAGTCAAGTGCTTATCTTTGCTATCTCTAACTCTCTAAGTATATATTATCAACACAAATACAAATTCATAACTCAAGGAGGAAAGAAATCTTCTTTTCTGTATCTACAAAAACCAAAAAGGGGTAACTAAGGCCACCAATAGTTACTCGGCATGTGGATCTTCTTTATATAAATTTTCCACATAGATGCATGTTTTTCTAGAAATATAGTGCCTGCTTATGAAGTAAGCATATTTCTAGTATAGCTGAGAGTTGCAATATAATACACCACATACCTGCTCTTCAACCTTCATGTGCTTAGAAAACAGCTTTGCAGGAGGGCAATCTCTAGTGAAAGGTCGCAATTCCCTATAAAAGCATAATGGATTCTTGAGTAATTCTTCAACTAGTAATTAAACAGCTAGTTGTATATCAAATAAATATGTCATCAACCTGAGAAGTTCCAATGATCGTAGAGCAGATGAGCTAATTACAAGAAGCGAGGGGTGGCCTGGTTCAATTTTCCCAGCTTCAAGTTGACTTTTACAGAGAAGATCCTTCCATGATGATCCAAAAGCAACCTTCATATGCTCTCCCAGAGTTCTAGGATTTTTAGTTTGATCCGAGCTGAGCTCAACCATGCAAGTATCTGCATGACAAAAAAAATAGCATAAAAATTGTCACCCTAAACTTCATCGTTAGTTGTTCCTGGAAACATGAAAAATGTGAATCACCAACTTTAGCATTGTTTAAATGTTAATCCGCAACAAAAGCCGGAGCCTGGATAGCAAAATATGACCTCTTCCTATGTTCCTCTTCTGGAATCTTTTTATGTCCTTTCTTGAGAGGAATTAGTCCACATGTTTTAACTATAGGTTGTGGGGGTTAGTCAAACCCCTCAAAACAAAACTTTCATATTCAAACAATTTCTTCTTAGACTTTGTTCACAAAGTATCATCCAGTGAGGCAACTGGGAAAATTTCCATGCTGTTAAATAAAAGGACAGGGGAACCCAAAAACTTCCCCAAATAAAATCCAACGTCTTTTTTTAGTCTTCCAAGGAAATTAATGCCATCACTCCCCATTTCCCTTTTGCATGTACATGAAATAAAACTTGACAACTCAACCATGACAGACAATTACTTATTGCTAAGTTTTATAACTTTTATTCACATACTGGATACCTTATTTTTTTCATCTGTTTTTTAAAAGGAGAGTCGGAAATATGTTTCCCATTCTCCATCTCTATTAATGACTAACCTTTAATCCTTGATGCACTAATCCTTAATCCCAATCTAGTTGTTGATAGTTACATAAAAAATCTATATGTAGAGGTTATCTAACAGCCAACTTAAAATTTTGATCGCATCTCTGCAAGTGGATTCTACCTGATATACTATACTGAACTGAAGCTGGAGCTGACTAATTACTAATTCAAACATAAATTCTCCAGATTTTTTTCTACTTCAAATTCAATTTCGAAACAAGGATTAAATCTGTATTTTCTTCCATATTATTGGGAATACCAAGTAAACGCCGCAAAGCAGCTTGAAAACGTATATGTTCGGATAAAGTTTTAACATTAAAAAACAAACAAATTATCCGTTAAACACTGCAGAAATTACTACCGGTAAAGTGGATACATATAGATTATAGAGAGATAGGGGCGACCTTTGAAGGATTCCAGCTCGAGAGAAGAAAGCTGGACACGGTTGGCGGATTGATACTGGTGAATGAAGAAGTTGAGCTGCTCCGACGCTGTTGGGCCACAGACGACGCCGTTTCCGAGGTTGCTCTCGCCATTTTCGGTTTTGCCTTTGCTGGCCTTGGTCTTCTCCTTCTCCTTGTTCTTCAATTTCTTAGGCCGCACAGACAATTCTTTCTTTTTCTTTTGCTTTTTACCAGTCTCTGAGAGCAGCTTCTTCTTCTCCTTACCGCTGCCCATGAGCGATCAATTCAGTGTCTCCGCCGCTGTTAGAGCCTCAGAATTCTCAAGTCGGGTGGTGGCTCGCGGCTTCTCTGCTAGGTCTGTCTCGGTTCAAAAATCAAAATAATGGATTTAAAACAATCGTCCCTCTACTTTACTCTAATTAAAACTGCATCCCTTTACAATTTCCAATATATGTTTGTTTACCTTCTATTTAGGCATAATTACAGAAATAGTTAATTGTACTTTCTTTTTAGAGTTAATAACCGATTTGGTCATTCGACTATTACGAAACTACTGATTTAGTCCTCGACTATATTTCTTACCAAATTAAGTCTTCAACTTTTCAGTTTTTACTTGATTTCGTCCTCCGTCCACTTAACCGTGAAGTGGTCTTCTCCCAAGACAAAAATGTAAATACAGAGCCTGAAGTGTGAAGAAACCGTATTCCTCATTTTACACTTGGCAGTAATGCACCTTCCCATTTCAGAAAACAAAATCAATAAACCAACTAATCTTTTTTTTTTTTTTGAAAACATAAACCAACTAATCTGAAATCCCCAAATTCTTTAACCCTAGTTGGTGAAGTTAGCCTTGCAATACTCCGAAGCTCCGATGGTCTTCGTCCCCAAGCTGGTCCTCACGGTTAATTGGACGGAAATGAAAGAACACATTGTCCGAACACCTGGAATGTTGAATAATCGAATGAACGACCTGGAATGTTGAAGAACTTGATTCGCCGTCGCTCATAAACAACTGGGTTTTTCTGAAAAGAAAATCGATCGAGAGCACCGCTATAATTATCAAATCGGAGATAGGAGTCGAAGTTAGACGATCTGATGGATTCTGCCGGCGGGAAGGACGGCAGCGACGGCGAGAGCACAATTGCCACCACTACAGCAGAAACAAACCGCGAGAATCTCATATATAGAGAAAGAACTCTAGGCCGTCACATATGAGCAAATCTTCAAGTTTGGGAACGAAGAACAAGAGCTTCGAGAAACTAGATAAAGGAATCTGGTCAAGCATGTTCCATTCCGGCTGGATATCGACTGAGGATTTGAACACTGCAAACTCGCAAATTTTAATGTGGATCATGGTACACATAACTGAGTGGACTTGGTAAAAAAGTGAAGTCGTTTGAAAAAATTTTCATTAACAATTGAATACAACAAATTCTGTTATGGTTCGTATAGCAATCATTTCATTTTATACATATTGCAATTTCTACATTACTATTAAAGTATCATTATAATTCAACTATAATTTCACTTGACAATATACACTCAATATTTGAGACATGCTATTCAGTTTCAATTTATACACAGTGTAGTTTCATTACATCACCACTAAAGTATCATTATTATTCAACTACAATTTCAGTTGACAACATGCACTTAATATGTGAGACCTTGTTAAGATCAAACGCTTACTCCTTACAACAAAAGTTATAGCTGGTAGCAAATACGCACATTTATTTTATTATAGACTGCCATCGCATAGTTCGAAACACTAGGTGCTAGACTTTGCCTTAAGCCTTTACCGATCTTCGTCAACAATTCGATAGCAACTGGGTGCTAAACTTGGCCTTTATCAGTTTTCGCCCCATACATGCTATTCATGTTCATTTTATACACCGTGTAGTTTTATTACAACACAATTAAAGTACAATTATAATTCAACTACAGTTTCATTTAACAATATATACTAAATATATGATACTTGTTATTCAGTTTCATTTTGCACACAATGTTATTTCATTACGGCACAACTAAAGTATAATTTTTATTCAACTAAAGTTTCATTTGGCAATATACATTCAATATATGAAATATGTTATTTAGTTCAATTTTATACACATTGTAATTTTATTATAATCCCATTAAAGTATCATTATAATTCAAGTAAAGCTTCATTTTGTAATATACATTCAATATGTAATACATGTTCTCCGAGTTTCCCGACTCACACCGTAATTTCATTACAACATTAAAGAAAGATGAATGCGCTACAAAATGTAACAAGTGCAATTTCTTTTCATTAAAAAAATAATGATGTTTTGAATTTTAATTTATTGTATAAAGATTGGTATTTATAAATCGCTTAAAGAAGAAACAACAATTCCAAACATAGCCAAAATACATGCATGAATTTCATAACCAATAACACCAAAAAATACATCACTAGCTCTTGATAACACCATTTACAAATCAAACCTAAGTATTGAATTTATAACGTTAAATTTTATTCTAAAATATTCATATTAAAATTCAAAGTACAAAAGTAAATCAACCACAATTCAAAGTACAAAAGTAAATCAACCACAATGTATAATTGTATATAGACATCAATCAATATATATAAACGTTACGTCCTTTTTTCTGTCTCTCTCTGCCAGCGCCTCCCACTATTATCTTTCTTTCGGACAGCAATCCAACATCCCGCCTCCACCGTTCACCGCCACGCCGTTTTTTTCTCGTTTTCTCTATCTAGATCTCCATTTCTCTCTCTGAGCTTAGATGGGTTCTTCCGACGAGGAGGGGGAGGAGTACCTCTTCAAGATAGTGATCATCGGGGACTCTGCGGTGGGGAAGTCCAACCTGCTTTCCCGCTACGCCAGGAACGAGTTCAACCTGCACTCCAAGGCCACCATCGGGGTTGAGTTTCAGACCCAGACCCTCCAAATCGACGGCAAGGAGGTGAAGGCCCAGATTTGGGACACCGCCGGCCAGGAGCGCTTCCGGGCTGTTACATCGGCTTACTACCGCGGCGCGTTTGGCGCTCTCGTCGTCTACGACATCAGCCGCCGCACCACCTTCGATAGCATTCCGCGTTGGCTTGACGAACTTAATAGTAAGTCTCACTTCCCATTTCTCTTTATTCTTTCATCCCAATTCAATTCTCTGTGATCGCCTGCGCACATTTCTAGCTATAAACTTCGGCCAAAGTTAATCAGATTTTTGGAGTTAGTAATTACACTGTATAGTAGATTGTGGTAATCATTTTCTTCTTTATTTCGTTGGATTATTTGGAGGATAAATTGGTTTGATATTTCGGTATAGTATATAGAAACGCGGGTAGATGTTATATTTGACTTGAAATCGGATGATGAATGCCCAGGAAGATGAAGAACATGAAGTAAAAAATATGATTAAACATTTAAACTTATGTTTTGGATTATATGTAGCTGTAAGTTGTTTGCTGGAGTTGAAGATAGGGGGCATTTGGTTGAATATCAGTATTAGAATTGAAATGGGAATCAAATACTGGGTAATTTGAATGAGATTTAGTAAAAGTACACTCCTTGTTTGGTAATCCTTGTTTGGTAATGGACGGAGAGAAGCTAAAGTGGAAATTTATAATAGAATGACTTTTTTCTTTCCTTTATGATTTCAATCCCATTACAAGGCCCCAAAAATAGTAAAACAACCCATGTGATTGGATTTGAATCCTATCAATAGGGCTTAAAAGTTAAAACCAATGAACCAAACTCTACCATATTGTTTCGCAGCAAATTATATTGTGGACCATAGTTAACATTGCAAGGTGAACCACTTATATATGCTCATTTTTAGTATACTAAAAGTTCATTTTTAATGTATTGAAGGTTCATTTTTAACTAGTATACCTAAAAATGAATATTCAATATACTAAAAAATGAACATTTATGTCAGTAATCCACCTTGCAATGTAGGCCATGGTCCACGGTATAATGATTGAAAGGGTTTAGCAACTTTTAAGATGTCCAAGACTACGGAAAATATTTTATTTGGTGTAAGTGTGTAACTTGTAAATCTAGTTTGCTATTCTAAATCTTTAATGTATTAAAGTGGATGCAGAATCCAGTATTGCCAAACTCAGTATGTTAAGAACATATTGAACAGAAACGGAAGAGTAATACTAGCAGGTATAAGCAGTATTTTTGTTCTTTGCATCAAGACACTACCATAAAAGGAAAAAAGGAAAAATCTTTGCCAGTGTGGTCAATGTATCCATGGTGCTTAGCAGCTTAGGTGAGGTTTTTGTACCCATTAAAATAGGGTATAGAAAAAATTGAAGGTCCATATTGATGTCTGTTATGCTTATGCATGGACCTCATATATTTATCCTCTAGATTTTCATTTTTTTTTTTTCAATTTCATTAAATATTGAACACCACTTTAGGAAACCGAGTGTAATTTATAAAGAAGAGTATAAACCTCTTGCAAACTAAGTTCATTGATGAACTTCTACAAACTTACACCATCAAAGTTTACAAGAAATAGTATGCACGTGTGAGCAAATTGGAAGAGCGGCAGGTTTATTACTGAAATCATTCTCAATATTTTATGGACAACATAAATTCTCACAATTTCATGGTTTGTGGATCACTGACAAATTCATTTTTAGTATACTGAATGTACATTTTTAGTGTACTACATGTTCAGTTTTTAAGGTTCGTTTTAGTGTACTGCATTTTCATTTTTGGTATATTACTATAAAATAAACTTCAGTAGGTTGAAAAGTAGCTATGAACCGATACTACATTGTAACAGAGTCAGTAGTACTAAAAAAAAAAAATTACTTGCTAGTAAACACGGTTCAAAGTGTAGTTTGGTGGAAAGTTACACCTCTTTTCCGATTTTCATTTTGTTGATTATTATTCAGGAAACTTGTGAATTGATAAATATATAGTATAGATTTTGGTATGAGACGAATAACATGTGTGATCGCTTTAGAAGTTTGACCTCAAAAGCATAATCTTGATGCAGCTCATTCTGATACTACTGTTGCAAGGATGCTTGTGGGCAATAAATGTGATTTGGAGAACATCAGGGAGGTGAGCGTTGAAGAGGGGAAAAGCGTTGCAGAAGCAGAGGGGCTGTTCTTTATGGAGACATCGGCGCTGGATTCCAGGAACGTAAAACGGGCATTTGAGGTTGTTATCCGAGAGATATATAGTAACGTTAGCAGGAAGGTTTTGAACTCAGATTCTTATAAAGCAGAATTATCTGTCAACAGAGTCAGCATTGTGAATGATGACAATGATGGAGTGAAACAAAACAAAGGTTATTGTTGTTCTAGGTAACTAACTGGATTTCTTTCTAAGTAGTTGGCTGAGTCAAGTCAAGGGGTTGTTTATTTGTGAGGGATTTTAAAGTTACCAGCAAAATGGTATTCATATCTTGTAAGTGACTGAACATATTATGAACTACAATTGAATCAAAGTGAAAAATGATAATGCCATTCTTTTTCATTGGATTCCTGTATTGTATCATTGAAACAAATAAGTCATAACATCATATTGACAATAAAGCATAAACTCTCTACTTTTATAAAAAACAAAATTTTCTAGAATCAACAAGTCTCTTGCACTAAAAACAGAATTTTCATGATACCTTTACCACACCAGCCAAATTTTAAAAATGATTAAAAAGTTCAGAACCTAGCTAGCCATCCTCAACATATATCTTTTGCTTTTTATAAAATAAAGCGTTCTACTACATAGACTCCCAAAATTCTACTCTATCAAGATTGGTTATTTTCATCATGTGGGTCCAAAAAAAATGTCTAAAGAGTATGTTAGAGGGAGTACAAGTTGAGAGTTTAAAATGGGAGTACACCAAGTATTTTCTTAAAATAAAAAGCCCCAAGCCAAAAAATGATTACAAGTTCAGGAGCTAGTAGTCATCAATAGATGTCTTTTGCTTCTTCCATTTATATGCAGCTTCCAAAATTTTAAGATTTGTGGTCTGTGTCTCTTCAGGGAATAAGTAATCTATGTATTCCTCATACCCTGCTAGACCATCCTCAGTTTCTATTTGCCGCCTCTTTTTGAGTTTTTTAGGTAGTTTGGCACGGACCAATCCAACATCACCGACATCACCAAAGCTGCTTTCAATGTTTAGCCATTCTTCTAAAAGCATCGTCCTCTCCTCTTTTAATTCAGGTGCCGAAGTTCTTAAGTAAACTAGTGCCCTTTCAAAGACCCCTGATGCATGAAAGAAGAAGAAAAAATGTTAGTCAATTTTTGTCGGGACGGAAAGCGACTGTTAAGGTTAATGATTTAGCTTAGGTGTGAAAAAAATGCTAGTGATTTAGCTTAGGTGTGAAAAAGATGCTAGTGATTTAGCTTAGGTGTGAAAAAAATGCTAGTGTAAAACAAGAGCAAGTTCAGATTTTCTGACCTCTAGCCCGTTGTAAACGTTCTTTCTTCTGTTCAGGGCTGACTTCTTGCTGGTCTGGGTCTGAGGAATCCCTTTCAACAGCTGAAGCTTCAAACTTTGCATAACTTATCCATACTTTCAAGTGTTTTGTGCGGCTCAAAAGCCGCTCATACAATGCTCTAGTCCTTTCATATTCACCTTCTGATATCTCGAAGTCAATATATGCCTATCACAGATTGAAGAATAGAACAAAATATAAATATACATATTTAATCACAATCAGAAGAAAGAACTTTGCAATTACAGTAAGCACATCCCCAGTTCCAAATGTTTTAATGTCCTTAGACCTAAAATCACCCATTAATCATTACATAATATGCAGTGAAATAAGTAAAAACTCAAAGAGGATATTGAAATGCACATGTTCATAATCACTTTCCCTTGTGTGTTTATAAGGAATCTAAACCAGAAACTGATTTGATTTTCACCTAGAAAAGAAATCATCCCAAAAGACACATGCAAGTAAAATGAGATTAAGCATAGAACTGCTAGGCTCTTACTAGCAACCCCAAGAAATCATGAGAGAATATAGAAAAATTAGCTGAAATACCTTCCATAGTAATTCTGGCATGTTCAATGCAGGTTGATCAATTGCAAGCTCAAAAATAGCCCGGGCTCGCTCTGTTTCATCCAAAGACTTCTCCAACTCGGCAAATTTAGTCCATGCATAGCAGTTTTCTGGAAACCATTCTAGGTATTTCTCATAAAGTTTTCGGCAACGATCTATGTTACCTAGGTGCAATTCTATTTCAATGTACTTTTTGAATATCTGTAGGTTGCAAGAACACTAGTCAATAGATCATTATCATTAAATGAAGAAAAAAAAAAGAAGAGAAACACAGACAATCCAAGAGATGAGTTCAGGGTACTATTAATGGATAGAATGATAGATACCTTGTCTTTAGGAGCCATTCCAATTGCCCGTCCAAGGATCGATCTGGCAGCTTTCAGCCTTAATTGACGTATTTCAAACTGGGCAGCTAATAACCAAATCTTGGCAAATGAAAATTTCTGATGAGGGATCAAATTCAGACATACCCTGGCATTAGTAAAATACAAAAGTTATTGTATATCCTAACGACATGCTTCTTTCTTGAAAGCAGCATATATATACGCTGGAAACAACTTTAGAAAAACAATACACACTACATTAATAGAGTCAAAGGCATCTTACCTGTAGACTTCTCTAGTGCGTTCCATGTCTTGTGCATCAAGTTCCTCGTATAAAGCATAATTAATCCTAAGCATACAAAAAATTAGCCAATGAGTAACAGCTAATAAAATTTCAATAATAGCATTAAAAGAGATAATAATATTAGTATGAGACCACTATACTTACCACAAGTAAATATATCTCTGCCAATACCGTTTCTCTTCAGCAGGAGGTATATTAGCAATGGCTCTCTCATAGACCTCTCTAATCATCTCCTTAATTCCCACACTTTCCTCCAGCCGTATGTAATCAAACCAGGCATCATAATTATGTAGATTCCTCCTAACCTCATCCTCATATTGAAACCTCTTCTTCCCAACAATAGCATCCTCAATGCCATCCTTATCACCATATTGCTTCTCAAAAGCCACATACTTCTTATATAAATCCTCAGCCCGACCTTTTGGTATATGGTCGAGTGCAAACTTATATATGCACCTAGCCCTCTCGGTCTCTTTGCACATCTCTTCGAACTGTGCAAATGACACATATAACTGTTCTGCCTCCTCATCATCAGCCAACTTATCCACTGCTCGTAACAACTCCTAGCCCTGGCAACCTCCCTATGTTTCATCTCAAACTTGGCATATCTAATCCATGCAGTCACCTTGGGATGGCACTGAACAAACTTTTCAAATATTTCTCTAGCCCGATCAATCTCATTATACCTCAGCTCAAACTTGATATAAGAGAACCAACCCTGTTGGTCAGGCTGCCAGGCCATCCATCTCTGGAATACCTGCCTAGCACCCGCAACATTCCCCAACATCTCTTCCATGTGAATGTACTTATACCAAAGCTGATCAACCCTAGGCAAGAGGGTAACAGCTCTGTCCCACACATTCCGAGCATGGTTTATGAACTTATTCTTCATCTCCACCTCAGCATAATTAAGCCAAATTGTTGGCTCACGATAGAAAATCGCCAGCGCCCGCTCCCAAACCGAGCGGGCGCGTTGGAAATCCTTCTGGGACTCCTCCCACCTAGCATACTTCACCCAGGCACCCTTGTTCCACCGCACACGGCGGATTTGGTCCTCAAACCCCTTGCGCTTCTGGAGGCGGTAGTCAGCAAGTTCACTGAAATCAGTAATTTTCTGCTTAGGAGCCCGGATTTCTGCCTCCTGTCTCTCCCTTGACTCGCGGAGAATTTGCTCAGCGGTGATTTGAATGGGAGCAGGGGTCTTATTCTTTACCCGGGTAGCCCTTGGCAGCTTGACCTCCGTTTCTTTGCGGGTGAGGTACCCTAAATTTGGATCTGTTTGCATGGATTTCACCATAGCTGCTGATTATAATAGAGGTGAAGTTCGGGAATAATTTGATATGTTTCAGTAGTTTAACTAGGCGCTATGGGTCTATGGTTAATAGAAGAAGATTATGATTTACTTATGGCTGAATATAAAATAAGAGAAGAGAAATTGGAGGTGAAACTTCTTTTGATTTTATTCAAGACAATCTAACATTCTCCCTATATATAGAGTTAAAAGCTTAAAAAGGAAATAATATTCTAAAATATGGTTACTTAAAAGTAAAAAGACATCTACTAATAAATTAGGAAATAAGATAACTAAATTAATTTTAGCAGATTAAAAGCCTAGAATCTGTATTATATCATAGTTTTCTAAGAATTCGATAGAAGATTATCAAAACTGATTTATTGAGGGATTTTTAAAGACTACGAACTAGGGTTCAGTTGGGACTAACTATTTATAAGGGAAAACGGCGTTTTTGGCTCCTCAATTGTTTTACTTTTGAAAATCTAGTCCATGTCAATTGATTTGAACAAACCTAACCCTTTAATTGTTCATAATGTGGCACATTTGGTCCTTCATGTTATATAATTAGGATTATTTTAAAATTTTATTTTTTATGAGGCTATAATTGTCTAAACTTTTCAACCATTTAACTTTCTTCTCCTTCTTATTGCCCGCCTAAGTCAAGCGGATAATGCAATTGGGCCCATAAATGAAAAAAGCTTCATTCAAGTTCCTAAACTGGTCAAATTGTTCCATTAAGTCCAATTGGATTTATTTATCAAGTTGGATCGATACGGTATTGACACATTTCCTTTTCTATTTTATTTTTTAAAACAAATGTTTTATTTTTTTAAAACAAATGTTTTATTTATTAAAAATTAAAAAGATTATTTATTATAAATAAATTATGGCAATGATGGAATGAAACAAAACAAAGGTTATTGTTGTTCTAGGTAACTGGATTTCTTTCCAAGTAGTTGGGCTGAACAATGCTAACTTGTGAAATTGCAATACAATTGAACATGTCCTTGTTGCCTGAATCTAGCATGAATATTGTTAACCTGTGTCACACCATTATAAGTATACCCTTTATAGTCCACAATTGCATCTAACAAATTAGCATTCATAAAATAAACCAAAACTGAAGCAAATAAAAACTCATAACATCATATTGACAATAAAGAATAAACTTATTGCTTTTATACAAAACCAAATTTTCCAGAATCAACAAAGTCTCATGAACTAAAAACATAATTTTCTTGATCACTCTACTAAACCAGCCAAATTCTTCTAAAAATGATTACAAGTACAGAAGCTAGCCAGCCATTCTCAACAGAAATCTTTTTGCTTTTTCCAAACTAAACTGCCCAAGTCTAAAAATGATTACAAGTTCAGAAGCTAGTCATCATTAGTAGATATCTTTTGCTTCTTCCATTTATATGCAGCTTTCAAAATTTTAAGATTTGTGGTCTGTCTTTTCAGGAAATAGGTAATCTATGTATTCCTGGACCATCCTCAGTTTCTATTTGTCGCCTCATTTTGAGTTTTTTAGGTAGTTTGGCACGGA